TTAACTACAGGTCAAGTTATTATTTGTTGTTCCTACAACTTGGTTAAGCGACAAGACTTTTGTCAGGCACTGTAGTCTGAGTCTTGGCAATGTTGTATCTTAGCTACTCATGTTTGTTTGAAAAGCAAACAGCTCATCACATAATCAGCTAACAAGTGAGAATATCGGAAGTCACTGCACATGTAGGCGTGTGTTTCAGTCACAACCAAGAAGTAACCTGTGTGAGGTAGCCTGTCACTGACTCACTCATCTCCTTCACTCCTTCAGGTTGCTTGTTTGAGGTCATGAGGCTGAACAAAGAGCTTTCTTGTTCATCCACTCACTCACTAACTGGTTCAGAACGACAGATTTGAAGGACTGACCAAGTTGGTGAGCGAATGGGTGAACAAGAGAGTAGGCGTATACATTCAATCCCAGGTTTAGTTTCCAGCCAATCATATGCTCACTTGCAGCACGCCCTTACATGCCTCACTGGTTCTTACTGGCCATAGTTGATGAGGGAAGCAGCATTCATGTCAAATGTCTGAGGACATGTAGAAGAACAAAAAGAACTAATCTGTGCAGGAAAGTGAACGTGAGTGTGCAATTCCTGTAACATCACACCATTAGTAACCAACTCACAGCCACAATTCACATAGTGTTTTGCGTATTGAATATCTACTTGTTAATTTAGGTTTCACCCATGTCAATAAGTGTATTAATTTGTTTCATTGTGTTACGAATTGAAAATGATGAAACTGAACGGCACACAATGAACATGTTACAACCCTTGTCTTTACTTTAAATGTAGACCTGTACTTCTGTTCAGCAACAATTACTTAAATATCACGATGCATAACAAATCGGCAAAAAAAAACCCAAAATAATATTGAATCAGGAGATCTCTGTTAATTCCCATTACTGTTTTTAAGTTTTATTTTGGCTAAAGTTTTAAGAATATTTTGTCTTCATTGACAGACAAGATGTCTGCGCCTGTGACTTAGATGTGCATGCCTTGCTGTCTGGGAGATGTGTAAAAAGCTGTTTTGCTTTATTTTGGTCTAGGTGTTAATGATCCAAAGCTTAAATGTGTTGTATATGCTACAGAAGTTCATGCAGAATGATTTTATTTTTGCATGCATCTGCCATCGCTGCTTTTGCAGTACAGGACTGAGGTGTGCTTGGAGTCCGTCCCAGAAAACACTCTCCTGCTGTTTGGACCGAGCAGTAATTGACCTAACTGCATGTCTTTGGAAGGAAGGGGGCCCCCCAACCCTGGGCCTATAGTACTGCCCACATTATATACGATACAGCTCTCCTTGATTCTTTGAAAACCCGATTTCCTGTCTGAGGCCTGTCTCACCTCCTTTTTTTGTCAAGAAAATACAGTGAAACTGCAAAGATGGATGCTGCTTTTGAGGAGGCTGAGGTGAAGATCATCACAGAGGAGGTGGAGAGCTGTTACACCGTCATGGAGGTTTCCTCCCCCAAACGGAGACGACGAGGGAGAAGCCAAGGGGAGCCTGTGGATAAATCCAAAAAGCCCAGGTAACACTGCACACGCACGTCCACCATATTAAGGCGGAACAAAGTTGCCCCGAAGAGTCACTGCTCACAGTGATATTTTTGTATAGTGTATGTATATACAGTAAAATCCCATTACAGTGGACGTCTATAATGGACAAAGAGGACAAAGTGTACACTTTCGACATTTTCATATCTCAAAGTCTAAAACTTTCATGCGGTGTAACCATCGAACCAAATGAACAATGGAAATATTATAAAAATTGGTATTTAAGTAATTAAAAAAATAAAATGTAAGTATTTTGACATTCTATATTTGTAACCTTTAAACTCATAAAAAAAACACTTTGGTTTTAAAAGAGCCGAAAAACATTTGTGTGCAAGTGTACACTGCCTCAAATGTCATGCGGCACAACCGGGAAAAGGAGGTTTTATTTTAAAGTGAACTTCATGATGCAGTGACTAAGTAGTAGATTTACCTCAAGTATTGACAGAAATTACCATTTTCAAGTCAGGGTTAGTCTTCTGCATTTTCCATGTCAGGTCATACAACCCGTGAAAAACTATGAGAACATTGCAATATGATAAAACTCTTTATTTGTTTTCAGAATGTTAAGTATAAACTTCATATCAAAGATATTAAACTTTGTGCAAGTGTCCAAACAGACGTCTGTTTAATTTGGAAAGAGCTTGAAAAGGCAGGTGGCGCAACCACAATTAATATGACTACTACTCATAAATACAAAAAACAAATAGGTCATTTTAGGGATGTTTTCATTTGGAAGAAGTTCAGTTTCTCCTCACTTCACAGTGGTTCAGTTTACAATTTTTCTGTTTTACAATGATGCACATTCAGAAGTCAACTTTTGATTTTTGAATTTCCTGGACTAAGATACTCTGATACTTTCCACTGATACTGGGCGACAGCAGCATCCACGCTTCTGGTCTCTGTAGCGATTACAAGTGCAGTGTTTAACAATGCTCTATTCATTTATTCAATTCAGTTACTAGTATTTAGTTAGTTACAGTAATTAATTAACTTATTCAGTTACAGTAGCTATTTAATTATTGTATCATATTTATTTTCAGCAAAACACGATGGCAAGTGAAATTATGCTTTATTTTGATACACATGACTCATTGTTCAAAATTGTTATATTTAATCTGCAAAAGATCTTCCAAGGTTTTACCATTTAGATTTTAACGTTCTGGCTTGAAAAACTGTCCAGCCACACTGAAGATTCCCCCAACAGGTGCAGAGAAAGCAGCTATAACTTATAGGTGTTTGTAGGCCACTCAGCTTTTCCAGTGACTTATCATGGTAATCAAAATGAAAGTTAAATATTTATCCTCTGGGCGACACTTCAAATGTTGCTTTCTTTCATTTTGAATATGAATATGAATTACATTTTTACATGGCATTTAACACTGATAGAGTATTTACTCTGTATGTTAATATGTTTATGTGTAATTTACATTAAAATATTAAGCCATTTTGTTAAAAGCTGCACCTGCACTCCGTTTTAATCCCTTCCTGAAATTCAAATTCGAATTGCAATTCAGTTTCACAAATTGAATTGGAATTTCAGGGCTGTTTTCAATTCATTTCAAAATGGTGCTATACACATATGTAGAGATGTATTTGTGTATTCATACAATTCAAGACGTCTTTATTGCCTGTTTTATGTTTTTTTTTTTTTTAAATGTATTTTTCATGTTTTGAATCAATTTATTATTTTTTTTCAAAAATAATATCTTCTGAAATTCCCAAGGTGGATTAGTGCCCCATCCTGGTTTTTTCCCTGCCTTGCACCCGTAACTTTTGCAATACAAAAGTAAAGTGACAAGTAGTTTCAGAAAATGGATGGATGGATAAATGGATTTTCTGAAATTCATTGCACGATTTGTCCTTCTTGGGCAGGTCTGCATACCTCCTGTACTATTTCGACGTCCACCAGAGTATGCAGCAGGAGTATCCTGACCTCCCGCAGTCTGAAATCAACAAGAGGATCAGCGAGAGTTGGAAAAGGCTCAACGTGGCTGACAAAGGCTACTATCTGGAGAGGGCTAAGCTGGAGAAAGACGGAATTGACGCAGTATGTTGCCGTTGTATGCTCCGTGGCGGGGGTCAGAGGCCTGATTTTGTATCGTTCCACCCTGTGAAGTAAGTCCTCAGGGATAGTACATCCTGTGTAACATAAGCCCTCCCTCCCCTGTCATCTCCTAGAGCAGCCAAACGGTGGGCACTTCTGCAGATGTCCCAGGCTTCCGGAAGATTCTCCCCCGAGCAAACTATGTGCTGCTTCCTAAGGGAACGATGGCAGAGGACAGGGCGGGTGGGCCGGTGGAGGTGTGCGTGGAGACTGTCGACCCCATGGGGGACGGACTCCAGCCACTGTCGCACGAGGCCCTCTTCTCGCCGATGGCCCTCGGCAGCGAGGTTGAGCTGTCAGAGCAGTGCATCGCCATCGAGGGGCTGACGGACGAGACGGCCGCGGCGCTGAGCCGCTCCGGCGCTCTGCAGGAGATCCTGTCCCAGTGCTCATCCAACGGCACGCAGGATAAGCAGCCGTCCGGCTTCCTCGTCAAGGAGGAGCCTGCGGAAACAGGCGAGGCCTACACCACTGTCGGCATGGAGATGGAGGAGAGGATCACGGGTACCTCTGTGGTGCACCAGGTCAAAGACGACTCCACACACCTGGTCACCATAGTTCCCAGCCCAGTAAGAGCTTGTTTTTATTTATTCTTTTGGCTAAACTTGATTGAAGTTGAATAGTGGGAATTCTCCTTCTGTCTTCTATAGGACTTGGTGGAAACCAAAGTAGCATCTGTACCAAGTTCTGTCCTCATGTTTCCTGTTGGGTCCACTCAGGAGCCTGATCCCAAACCCTCATTTAAACTGGTCAGTTTTTTTGTTTCTAAAAGACTAATTATTTATATTTCATTTGTTTTTTGCTGCTGTAGAATCAGCTTTTGTCATGCCTTTGCAGACACTCCCAAGATGACCGGTATTTGTTTCCTTTATGGAGTGAGGACAGAGAGAGTAACACCTTGTGGTCGTTGTACTTTTCAGTCAATAAAATACACTAGAAGAGGGCGGGGAAGCTGCCACACTCCAGGCTGCTCCTTCTCCTACGTCACCCGTCACAAACCGCCCAACTGCCCGGAATGTGGACAGCACCTCGGGGGCAAGTGGGTGGCCAGCGTAAGTCTCCGTGCCCCTCCTGTCACACCCATTGCGTCAAGGTGGGAGGATCGGCACCTGCTGACCAGCTGATCTCCTTGTGTTTCCTCCTAGACTCCTCTTGTAATGTAAAGACATGCAGTTAGAGCAAATGGAAACTGTGAATTGCTACTAGTGCGTGAGTGTGTGTGAATGTGAATGACCTGCATGCAATCAACTGGCATCCCCTCTAGGGCAGGAGCCCCCAACAGTTTTTTTTTTTCTGAGAGCCGGGGTTTGGGGGGGGGGGGTCCATGAAAATAAAATTTGCCAAGCAGGTGGGATCAGTATTTTGGTTTGGATTCTGGAATCTGCCTGATGAGGACCCCTGCTCTCTGGTGTAGCCCAGCCTTGTGCCCTGTCGTACTCACGACGGGCTGCACTCCGCCCCATGACCTGGGCCAGGATAAGTGGCTAGAGGATGGATGGATGGAAGGATGTACTGTGCCAGTCAAAAGTTTGGATACGCCAAGCCGTCTACAATGGAGAGTGATAATGTGGTATCACATGACCTTGCCATCTAACTGTAGACAGCAGAAATGTTTTTGGAGGAATTTGACCAGAGAGTTTTACCAGAGAAAAAATGGCCAATGAATATATGTGGAACGTCCTTTGGGGCAACTGGCCGAGCATCCCAGGAGGCCACCTCATGGAACTGGGGTAAAGGAGACAGTAGGGGCAACCAGTCCATGGAGCAATTGGGGTTAGGAGCCTTTCTGAAAGGCCCAATGGTGGGATCACTCTGCCAATAATGGGATTTGAACCAGAAACATTCTGATTCCTAACCTACATAGCTGCCCCACCCCCCAATAAATTATTATTTTTTTGTTTAATCCTTTTTTTGGTCAGTGAATGCTTCCATTTATGTTTTTTTATTAATTTTGATGTACTTATAATTATTCTAAAATGTACAGAATACTATAAATAAACCTTTCTATGGGAAGGTGTGTCCACACTTTTCACTGGTACTGTATGTAGCGTGAGGTCGATGTGCAACAAAATGTCCCCAGTAGTGAAACGCTGAACAAACCAGAAACCAAACAGCGGGCTGGTCCTGTCCTGACAACCACTTTCCGCACGGCGCCAAGCAATTTACTGAGCCCCCTAAACAATTTTTAACAAAGAAGGGATGCAGTTGTCTGTATAACTTTCCTGATCATGCTTGAGCCGAAGGAATATGACTGAATCTTATTTTTATATCTATGTCTGCAAAACATGCATGAAATGTTTTCCTGTCCTGGAGCAGTATTGGACCGATGGTCTCTCAGAAGTTCTAGGTGTTGGATTATTGCCTAATTCTGAATTGAATGAGCTGTCAGCCTGGTCAAGGATCCTAGCCTCATGCCCTGTGATTCCTGGATGTTCCATGTACCCCCCCCCCCAAAAAAAAAAAACAGTAGGCAAAGGCTGAATGGATGCATGACTATAAATTCACTTAGGAAATTTATAATTAGGTGATCAGTGGTCATTGTTAACACACCACAGCACACAGTGCGCAACAACGAAATGTGTCCTCTGCATTTAGCCCATATGTGACTTTCGTGACATAGCAGGGGGCAGCTAATTCAGCGCCCTGGGAGCAGTACCTTGCTCAGGGTACCTCAGTGGTGCCTTGCTGGTGGGGGATTCGAACCTGCAATCTTTCAATTACAAGTGCGCTTCCCTAACCATCAAGCCACCACTGCCCACAATTGTCAAAAGAGCCCGTAGCGTTAACGGATCTCCAGGGTGAACTCGCTTGGGCTCGGTGATAAATGTTCTTGTGCAGCATTACAGAAAGATTCTGTCATTCATCGCTAATGTGGATGTGCAGTCATGTTGTGTGAAGACTGCATTGTCCCTTCTGGCACAATAAGATGCTGTGTACAAGTTATTCCTGGCATGTCTCAAAGAATTCTCCAACCCATTTCCCTTCAGGCGAAGAGAGGTCAGACCAAAGCAGCCGCTCTGACCTCTAAATCATCTGCGCGGAAGCCGACAAAGCATCCAGGGGGCAGTGACCAGCCCGGCGTGACTCAGCTGCCCGAGCCAGTGACGCAGTTGGCCGTGGCAACGGCCGCATCCGACACCAACGGAACACAGCGGAAAGAAGCGGTCATGACTGGCAACTCCCCAATGGGTGCCTCATCCACCCCTCAGGGCAGGAACATGGAGAACGAGGGGGTTGTCGGTGAACCCACAGATCCTAACATGAATCAGCGACAAGCGCTTGTACAGAAATCACCTGCAGGGGGCAGCGTAGGTCTTATGCAGCAGGCAACTGGAACAAAGACATCAGCAATGTGAGGACAGCAGAAATACCGAATAACACAAAAGAAATGCAAATGCAGGTAGATTACTGACTAGCAGCAATAATGTTTTTTCCTTTCTTGTTACCTTCTTACCCTCTGCAGCTGCCTGAAAGGGGCACCAGCTCCCAGTGTCCGGGGCAAAACACGGCAGAAGAGCCTCAACTTTGGGCCAAAGAGGCCAGTTCGCGCCATCCTGCCTGCACCCACACAAATAGGTCAGCACCTTCCTTCCTGAGCAGAGAAGCTAAAAACCAAATAGTGTAATTAAGGGACAGAAGCCAAGTAGTTCTGAAGGGAAGAAGGTGCAGTGTATGTATGCGGCAGCCTTACTAGGGAATGCAACTCAGTGCTACAGAATCAAGTGACCTGAGAAAATGCAGTTGCAGTTGTGTTTTCTAGAAGATTGTTATTTAGATGGTTTCATTAGCATCTGGAAGCAGTCGGCTTGTTTTCTGTTTGGCTATTTTTTGTTCACTTAGATATATGATATATGATTTTAATGCATAAATGCTGCATTAAAGGTTATATGAATTAGAGCTAGTCATAGGCCAACATCCAGGCTAATTTCAACCAAAAAGCATTGAATTGTCAAATTGTTGATACAGATATAAATGCATGGAATAAGTACTGATAACCTGAGGGTGTCTTGGCAAATTCTGGGCAGTGTCTTCACTGTATCCGTCAGGCTCAACTTTTATTTCCCAGTCCAGTTTTATCTAAATCAGGTATGCTGTCTGGTCAGAAGGGGGCATTGTCCTGTGTAGCCATTGTTATGTCGGCCAGAACTGGTCTGTTATGAATGATACTCAGTCGTAACTAGGCAACATGGTCAAACTCAGGGATGCTAATGAACTTAGTGGGTGACCTGAAACGGTCTGTTTGGGAAAACCAGCCATGTCTCAAAAACGAAAACGGTCTAGCAAATATGTCGTGTTTAATCACAAAAGCTTTTCCCATCTTTTTGGAAACGGCAGGTCCCGGCTCTCGAGCTGCTTTTGTCCAGTGGGTGACGGTGCCACCAGACAAGGTCAAAGATGCAGCTCTGTCCAAAATAAACAGCAAAGCAGGTTGGTTCCACCCCTGCTTGCTAATAGTCATACTTAACTCACTGCGAATGAAGTTGCTTTAGTGCTATTTAAGTCATTTATGATATTAGGCAGTAAGCAATATAATTGTAAACCATAGAAAACAATACTCTTTCTAAAAGATCTGATTTGAATTTCTCCTGTACTGTCAAATGGTCAGTTTGATTGCATTTTGAATGAATGCAAACTTCTCATTGTGAAACAATTTTATTATTATTATTATTATTATTATTATTATTGTTATTTTACAGGCAAGCCAGCAGCAGGGAAGGTTCCAAGCCTGAAGCCCAACACACTCAAGCAACTTGGGCAGGCTGTTAAACCTTTGCAGCTGGAACAGGTGGGAATACAGAATGGCTGTTATTATACACGTATTTGTCAGAATTGTTTAGTACATCGTTTTCGTTTCTGTACACACAATGAAATGAATGAATACATTTGTCACAGGCAGAACCTAATTTCGTAAGTAGATGCACAACACAGAAAACATGCTAATTATACGCTGGTTATGACTAATGCTGGTTACAGTCAGTCAAAATCCGGGCTTTGGGAATATTTAAATAATAATAAATAACAATAAATTACACCAACACCAAAGAGAGTCTGTCGGCTGTGTTTTACCAATCATGGATATGTTGCTGAAAATGCATCCAGCGTGTCAACTCATTTGAGATGACATCATTTGAGATGACATCATCTGAATGTGTGCGCGACCGGAACGAGGCAGAAACAGCTTCTGCAAATTAGTCTCCCTGTGCCATTTAAGGAGCTTTTGCCAGAATATTTAGATTTGGCTTAAAAAATAATGGCGGCTATAGGGGTGTTTATCACTACAGATATGTAGCTTTATACTATTAGAGGACATGGTATTTAGTTCATTATGCTTATTCTTGTGTTATTATAATGTTACATTTTTAATTTTTAAATAATTTTACACATTTATTTGTACAATGTGCAAATAAGCATCTCTTAGGTTTTGTTATTTGGGCATGCTGACAAAAGCATTGCCTTTGATTTACTGTCCCTAAATGTGTTGTGCTTGCAGTTTTAATAATAGGCTAAATGATATCAAAACAAACCCTGTTTTCCCCGCTGTACCAAAATTGCACTGAAGCGTGTATTTTGTGCATTGGTACACCCCTAGAATATAGCACACGTGCACACGTGACTCTCCTCAAACTTTTACCGACTTACCGGTGCCAGTCTGTGCAGACCTGCGGGGCGGGGGGGGGGGGGGGGGGGGGGGGGGGGGGGGGGGGAGTGGCTTAGAGCCTCCTGAGGTTCTGTAGGCAGCCTCTGCCTGATTGGCCAACTGGGCTGCGCTGAGGTGGGGGTCCCACAGTGACTCTCTGTCTGAATTTGTGTCACACCTTATCCTTGTAGAATCATCCTGTTCCTGCCAACACTAGTCACTATATAGTGACCGACAAAGGGCTGAAGATTCTGTCTGTTGTGTCCTTCAAACAGAACACAACCTCCATGTTGGTAAGTCTTCAAATTATTCAATAACTTTAAAGAAGACAGTGTCTCTGTGAAGTGCAATGATCTTATGTCTGTAAAAAAACCTTACTAATAAAATATAGTTTAAAAATAAGACTGAGGTGCTGTGGTGTCTCAGGGGGTCACACAGCGCCTTCTTGTGGTGTCTCAGGGGGTCACACAGAGCCTTCTTGTGGTGTCTCAGGGGGTCACACAGAGCCTTCTCAGCTCCAGCCTCTGCTGTTTGTAGTTCCACCCCTGGCTCTGTGTGCATGGAGTTTGTATTTTCCCCCAAGCTTATGTGGGTTTTTCCTCCAGGTACTTAGGTTTCTGAAAACATGCAGCTGGGTGAATCGCTGTCTCTAATTTGCACGTAGTTTACAAGAGAGTGTGTGTGGGTGGGCATGCTGTCCAGGGTGCCCCCCACCTTGTGCCCTGTGCTGCCTGCGATAGGCTGCCGGCTGTCTGTGATGCTAAACTGGATAATGGGGGATGGATGGATGGATGGATGGATGGGTGGGTGAATTGATGGATGGATGGATGGATGGATGGCTGGGTGGGTGGGTGGATGGATGGAAGGATGGATGGATAGGTGGGTGGATGGAATGATGGATGGGTGGGTGGATGGATGGAAGGATGGATTGGTGGATGGGTGGATGGATGGATGGCTGGGTGGGTGGGTGGATGGAAGGATGGATGGATAGGTGGGTGGATGGATGGATGGCTGGGTGGGTCGGATGGATGGATGGATGGATGGATGGGTGGATGGATTGATCGATGGTTGGATGGCTGGGTGGGTCGGATGGATGGATGGATGGCTGGGTGGGTCGGATGGATGGATGGATGGATGGATTGATCGATGGTTGGATGGCTGGGTGGGTCAGATGGATGGATGGATGGCTGGGTTCTATGCATCAGTGTCGGCTGCGCCCCTGTATTTCTCATGACCCGTGTTGCTGTGACAGGATTTGGGCTTGTCCACAGCCCGAGGCCGGGGCAAGTGCAAGAACCCCACCTGTGACTATGTGTACAAGAACCGGCACAAGCCTCAGGTGTGTCCGAGCTGCGGCTGGGAGCTCAGCAAGAAGGCGGCCAGCAAGCCCAAGCTCTTTGTGAGTCTCGCATCCCACCCCAGCTCTCCTTAAAGGCTTTATTCTGGGGGGGGGGGGAGCATTACAATGATAACAAACCAATAAACTAATGGGATTTTTATAATCTGTAATCTATAATGGATTGTGCGTATCTGAGTGTGTGGGCAGTCATCTGGGTGCCCCTCAGCCTTGTACCCAGATGCTGCCCCCCCCCCCCCAAACTGCAACCTCAAGCAAGATAAACGGTGGTTACAAGATGAATGGGTGGGTTAGATTGATAGATTTTATTAATCCATGGGGGGCAAATACAAGCAGACATCTAATAGTGCAATTAAGGGACGGATAGACAAGCAACACGAGTGCCAAAGTCTAAAATGTACGTACAATGTCCATATGACAGGGTCTTACCTGGTAGTGCTGCACAGTGCACTCAGATGGATGGATGGATGGATGGATGAATGGATGGATGGATGGATACTCTGTCTATAATAACTGTGTGTACTCGCGTCCCATCTGGCTTGCGGCCTGTTCTCCTTCGATCGACCCCAGACCATCTATGACCCTGAGCAGGAAAACCGGCTGACTGGGTCGATAGATGCATATTGCTATAATGTATCATTTATAATGCATAATGTATCTGTGTATAATTTATACTTCACTAATGTACTAATGTATTATAATCTCCCATTCAGCAATTTTGACGCTGCGTCTGCATCAGCACTAATGTGTCCGTTCCCCTGTCAGAGCGGTCCGGAACCGGCCTCTGCCGTTCTGCTGGACCCGTACCGCGCCCTGAGCCCGACCCAAAAGGAGACGCAGCGGCAGTCGACCCTTCAGCTGCTGCGCGGCTCCATCCAGCTGCCCGAGAGCGAGGCGGAGCTTCCCGAGGCCATGGCGCTCATCCAGGAGCTGAACAGCACGCAGGTGGTGCTTTCTGGGGCCGGCGACGAGTGCGAGGCAGTGCAGCAGAGCGGCTGGCCCCGCTTCTACGAGTCGGCCGCCCGCGAGTGCGGCCTCTGCAGCTTCCCCCTCTTTAAGGGCGGCCAAGGGTAAGGGTATCTAACGTGACGCCGTGCTGAAGTCCGAGAGCCAAAGGAAATCCTGCTTAAGTTTATGCTGGTGTAAGACTGTGACTCTGTGTGTCAGATTAGCCAAACCTACCCGCACGTCAACCCAGCCGTCTGCCCTGCACTCACCATCCAATCCATCCACGTTTGCTGAACTCACCCACTTGGAACCTTGTTCATGTAATCACTACCTCATGCAGTTAATTAATTGATTCAGTTAATGATTTAAATGAGCTTAACAAATAAACGGAGTGGCTGGGCTGCCCCCTGAGAAGAGGCTTGGAAACCAAAGCTACAGTCGTCTTGCCCGGTGTTTTCTCAGCGCAGTCCTTGGGACGGTCCATATCTTTGCTGCCCCCCAGCTCTGAGCAAAAACGAGGGCTGTACTGGGGCCCCGAGGACTGGTTAGAGAAACACTGTTCTAGCCATCCAGCAAGATATTAGGAGCATTTTAGGCAACACAAGAAATTATGTTTTTTATCTTATTACTGTTTATATATTCTAATGTTAAAATATGTTTTTTTTCCTGAACAAATATATACCCAGTTATAAAGCATTAAACAGATTTTTTTTTTCTGCTCTGAGGGTCACTGAGCTGAGGGTTTCTGCAGGGCATCTTGTGTCAGTGATTCATCCTCTAGCTCTGGCCTGACTCCAGTCTCCCCCTGTTGCCCCCCGCAGCTCGGTGGCGGGGCAGGAGGACTGCTGGCTTCTGACTGACTCCCACCTCCAGACAGCTACTATCCAGCTGAAGATCTGCCTGAACCCCCAGTGCCTTGCGCTGCACAGCTTCTGTGACATACACCCAGGTATCGCCGGGAGGTCGTTGGGTCGCGAATCTCAGTGGCCAGAGACACCAGGTCTGGAGAAAGAAAACCAGGCTGGAAGTGTGTGAGGCGTGTCGGGGGGGGGGGGGGATGGGTTATGGGGAAAGGGTCACACAAGTGGGAAAGCCCGGAGAAGTGGGAATTTTGTGACGGACTACAGTTTGTCAAACATTTCCCTCATGCGGGACTAATGGAAAATGGGCGTTTATAAAACAACCCCCTTTCGGTTATGCATGACCAAACAGAACTTCCGTTTTGGCTGAAGAGGGAAAAGACGCTGCAATTAAGTGTGAATTCGTGAAACCCCCCCGCACACTGGTGTGCACAATAATCTACCCTGCTGCACTCAGATATTTAATATTTATTTAACAACACTACACTATTTTGAATGTCACATGTAACTTTATTTATTTAGTAATTAAATAACGTAGGTGAGCGAGGTATATAAGTACAACACCACAGGTGACTGCTCTGCATTGCGACATTCCGCATCGCGGTTTTGATATATCACGGGGTCGGCATAAGAAATTAAATTGGATTTTTGGGAGCTTTTTTGAGTTTTGTAAAAGCTGCAGATGACACACGAAGGCCAGCAGATGACACGAAAAGTTTAGTAATTCATAAATCCTTAAAAAAATTGTACAGCACTGGTTTGAAGTATGCCAAGTGTGTTTCCAGCTGCCTCTGACGTGACGCCTCGCAGGGATTTTGCTGTGATCTCGCAGGGATTTTGCTGTGACCTCGCAGGGATTTCGCTGTGATCTCGCAGGGATTTTGCTGTGATCTCGCAGGGATTTTGCTATGATCTCGCAGTGATCTTTGTATCTTGCATTTGTCGTATCTTTTTGCTTTGCTTCGCTCACCAAAGGGGGGCAGAAAATTTCACGTTTTTCTAGATCGCGGGGGCCTGTGCCCGTAACCCCCGCAATGTGGGAGGGTCGATTGTAATATGTAATGCTGTTTGATCCATGGTCTGCCAGTCAACCTCACTCCTCTTTATGTGTCTCTGGAAAATAAAGGCCAGTTAAGCACTTGTACTAAGTCGCAGGGGACTGGGCCTGAGCTGCAGTCCCCAGCAGTCCTTTAGAATGTAAATTGTGTTGTTTTTTCATGTTTATCAGTTTATCACTGATGTCTTTATACCACCTTGGTTCCAGGTGTGATGGTTGATCGTCATTTGATTCTACTGATATTCAATCTATTAGAATTTCTTTTTTATTCCAAGAGGCTCAAGCAGATTTTTGAAAGGTTTTGGACTTTTTTGTTCAATAAAAGTGATCTCTGTCACTGTCCTGATCCTTAGTGGCCCGATCCCCTCCATTGAGGACTTGCTTATACCTAAGGCCAGTCCGTCACATTAACACAAGGATCCGGCATGCTATTTGCTCTGCTATAGCAATATAGGGGGCCCGGTCCCAGTCTCACTATCAAGCAAGGAGTAGGAATAGTCACATGACTCAGCCTTGGTTGATGGCCAGTGGCCCCGCCCTATTCCTGCCCACCTGACCATTTTGTAACTTTGCATTCTTATGAATACCTAAAGACCTCTCTCTCTTTATGTACCATTATAATTTCTGTTACCAGTGACTCTTCCCTTCTCTGCCTAGGTCTCTTTAACGTGGGCAACAAACTGCTGGTGAGCTTGGATCTCCTCTTCAAGATCCGCAGCCAGATCAAGCTTGGACACGACCCCAGCGAGGCGGCCCTGATGATCCTGAACGGGGTGCAGAACCAGCCTGGTAAGTTCTGTGAGTCTTCGTTTTTGGGGGGGGTCTTTCTGGGGGCCCGTCTCTCCCTCCCTAACTCATCCTTCCCCTCCCAGTGCACACGCTCAGCCCCAGCGAGGTCTCCCACATCCAGGAGCTGCTCTGCAGCGGCTACTGGGCCTTCGAGAGCCTGACGCCCCGCGACTACAATGACATGATCTGCGGGGTGTGCGGCATCGCGCCCAAGGTGGAGATCGCGCAGCGCAACCCCAACAATGTGCTGCAGCTGAAGAATGTGGAGGTGAGGCCCGGATCCAGGGGGTCTGCAGCCAAAATTCAAGCAGAATGGGCTGGTGTCCTGTCTATAGTATCCTGTGCCTCGTACCTTGTGTTTCCTGGTTTAGGCATGAACACATATGAATGGTGGATATATTAGAATGACACTATGAGCCTTGCAGTCACACAAGCAGCCTGATCATCTAACTCGTGCTTCCTAGTTCACCTGGCCAGACTTCCAGGCGGCGGACGAGGTTAACGTGGATGACTTCTGGCTGACGATGGAGAGCGAGGCCATCGAGCAGGCCGCCTTCCCCTCCAGCATCCCCATCACCAAGTTCGACGCATCCATTATAGCTCCCTTCATCCCGCCTCTGATGCGAAACTCGTTCATCATCAACACTGAGAAGGACAAGAACGTGTCGGACCTCACACCTGCAGGTAACGTAGGCCCTGTGTGGAACGTAGGCCCTGTGTGGAACGTAGGCCCTGTGTGGAACGTAGGCCCTGTGTGGAACTCCGTCACAGCTGCCACATACGGTACCAGAACCTGACCAGTGGCCTAGACACGGTAGAAATGGTTTTGGAGGAGTTTGACTAGAGGACCAAAGATAAGTGGCCAATAAGTGCTCAGCAACCAGTCCATGGAGCAATTGGGGTTAAGGGCCTGGCCCAACGGCCCAATGGTGGGATCACTCTGCTGACCCAGGGATTTGAACCGGCAACCTTCTGAGTCCCAACCCACAGAGCTGCCCCCCCCAACAAATTAATTTCCTTTGTTTAATACTTTTTTGGTCAGTGCAATAATCCATGTATGTTTTCATGTCTTTATAATTATGCTAAAATATAGATAGCACAAATAAACCATTCTATGGGTAGGCGTGTCCAAACTTTTTTTATTTTTTAATATGTTTATATTTTTAATAACAAAAATAGACTGGAAATGGAAATAATGGACCATAATACACACAGATTAAAGGTAGAGATAAATGGAACTCCTATGTGAATGTGGGAAGACTAAAGATGGGATAAAGCTGAATAATGAGATATGTATTATAAGACCTCGCCCCTGTCCTACTCTAATGCTTTTGCATTCGGAAAACCTCCTTGTCTCAGGTGACCCTGCGGTTCTGGTGCGCCTGATCCACGAGGGTACCCTGAAGCCGGCGCTGATCCAGGAGCACAGCGCAGAGGAGCTCAGGGAACTGCTGGAGCGCTGTGGATCCCCCTGTGACCCCGGCAGCTCCAAGGTGCGAGCCTGACGGCTGGAAGGCAGACACACTCGCCAGCCTGTGCGTGTCTCTGTGTGTGATAGGGCAGACACACCTGCCAGCCTGTGCGTGTCTCTGTGTGTGATAGGGCAGACACACCTGCCAGCCTGTGCGTGTCTCTGTGTGTGATAGG